CCCCAAAACCCCAAAACCCCAAAACCCCAGAGAGGCATCACTAAAATGAATTAAATTTAAAGTTTTAGTATAAATCATTGATTAAAAGTTTTGTCTGCATGCTTAACTACAGACTCTAAGCTCAACACTGAGGCTGTGTATGCTAATTACTATTATTCCTACCAAGAACTTTGTGAAAATGAACGGAATATCCTATCCTTATAAAGGCGGTAGATTGCAACCTAAAATGTCCTTTTATCCTTTCAATCTTGCCTTGATGCCTTGAAGCACAGCAGATTATAACAACGGGGTATAGGAACCTCCATGTGACATTTAGGCTACCTCCCGATCTTGCATAAGTGACCTTAAGGGATTTACTGAAGCTAATATTTGGATAATAAGGTAAAGTTAGGCACATCTTTGAGCTTAGTATGCATTCCTGGATGATAAAATTCTGTATATCTCAAGTTGCTCTACCACTTGGTCGATGTCTAATTAAGTGATTGCTTTCTGATCAAAGTCTTATATTCCGTTGAGGATAGAAATGACCCGATAATATATTTCTTATATTGAATATTTAATTGGCTTTGCTTAATAGCATCCAGAATTGTTACATCTTTTTATTACTATGAAAAGTTCTTGGAAACATTAAAATATTTAGCATAATTCCAGTGCAGATTTTGATCCAGATGACTCAAAACTTAGCTACATGCATTAAGCAAGGGTTTACTTTTTTGCTTAAAAACTATGTCAGAACTTCTCAGAAGTCTAACATTTGGTTGAAAGGAATTTACCTCGTTAAGGACGAATATGAAAACACTTTTAACTTTTATACCTATCCTCATAGTTTTGGTTGGTAAATCACCAGAGTGTCTGGCTGAAATTTTTGCTAACTTTTGCAGAGCAACTGAATTATTACCTGGTACAATCAATATAGCTCTAAGGGAAGCGAAGTCCCTCAAATTACAGAGATATTAGCCAAGAACCAAAAGAACTTCTTCACCATTTCATATGTGCTCATTATATCCGATCAAACAAGTTCACAAATTTTAAGTTGAGTAATTTCTCCAACGAGGTCAGAACTCTAGTTGAGAAAGCTTCCATTCTATCATGTAAAAGAATAGCAAAGTTTTAAGGTCGACTGAGCTCCGTATTCTTATCAAAAATTGTTGCAATAGTATAAATTAGTAGAATGGAGTTTCCTCATGTCAAATCAGAAATTTAGAATATTTCTAAAATCACCAAAAATGAGAGTATGAAGTTCCTAGGCAGCAAATTTTAATTTTAAGAGGGAAGATCTACTGTATAATACACTGGTAGTAAAGAGGCCTTTAAAAACATTCCAGATGTATCGTATAAATAATCTTAATGTTAGCACGATATTTATCTAAAATATGGAAAATGTTTCCCTGCGAAGCCTTATCGAAACAAATACTGAATGAAAGCATACCCTGAATGATATAATTGCAAGGTTGGCCTATAGCCTCTTGGCTTCTACGAGCATGGGTAATCCGTTCATGGTAAAATTCCAAACTTAATGAGCTCTTTTGTTTCTATTTCACCAAAACATCATGATAGTCTATCAAAGCATGACGAAATTCTGAAATCATAGACTCTGACTCTGAACTTTAGGCATCACAGTTCCGCCTTGAGAAGTCAACTAAATTTATTATGACCAATTTTTATTTCTTGCTTAAGACTTCCATTAATAAATCAAGCAAATCCAAAGATGCGCGCCATTCTTTCTATATTGGCTGTAAATCCTAGCTATATGGCCAAAATTTATATAAAGCAGGGAAATTAATTGAATGGACTCTTGCTGCTTCATCAATGATAAAAGTTGGTTTACCCTGAAATTAGAGGCAAAGAACTTTGATTTAGAAAGCTGATCCCTGAAATATACGCATAAGATATCTATAACTCTCACCCACAGCAAAACCTTGTTGATGTTTCTTAGTACTTATATTTACTTTAAGGCTGCGTTTAGAGGAAAACTGCTTTAGTAGCTTCATAACTGACATTTCGATAATAAGTTCAAAAATATTTTGAAATCTTCATACTTAAGTTTTTAAACTTGTGATAAATATATGAAGAATTTCATTACTTTATTATAAGTCAGCCAAGCAGAGATTGATTTACACCTAAGGAAACTCTCCTCTGTGGCTTAGTCATGTTTTAATAATAAAGAGTAGTATTCACCAAAGTTTTATAGGAACCTCCAATCCCAAGCTGGTACTTTAAAGAGAAGTTTATTGGTAATTTAATTATAAAAGGAATATTTTAAAAAGAGTTAGCACTCTCAAATACTAGCTTGTTATTTAGTTTAACAATATTTTGAGTATCTGGTCTGAAGGAATTTGCCTCAACTTCTTTTCACTATCAGCTAAGTTAATACCTCTCCATTTAGAAGATTTCTTCACATTGTAGGTTTTACACTTATAGTCTCTTAACGTCTTTCTGACCCTTCAGGTCACTGACTGTTTCTGAAACCCTGTAGGAACTAGCTCATCACTAGGTCTCAGATATATAATCTTAGAGGTATTCGTATTCTCTAATACTCTTTCAAAGTCAGCTTTGTTTGAACTACCTTTGTTATCCTTCAGAGTATTCTCAAATTGCTTCGTAAAGTGAGGCATTTGAGGAGCACATTCTTCTTCATCGATCTGGTCTGGGCAATCCCAGATGTCTTCGGGAACCATAGATGCTTTATTACTAGCTTGAGAATTCATTAATCTGAATTTATTATTATTGATCATCTCAATTACATGCTTATCTAGGGGTTTTGGGGTTTTGGGGTTTTGGGG